ACCAATTTTAACTTCAAATTCTAAAATTTAAATATTGGGGAAGAGTCCCCTTTTCCGACCTACTAGTTTCCATATTTAAAGAAGTAAAATAAATCGAAATTGAACTTACCCATAGAAATTGCACTGTTGCCGTAGCAAAACCAATTAATTCAAAATAAAGTTTATTACAGTAATTGTTCAAAATGCCGTCCATTATTATTTACACACACTTGCAATCGTCTTTCCAAAGAACTTTGAACATTAGAAATTAGTCTTGGATTTTGTCGTAGTTCCTCGGCTACCGCATTAACTTTATTGGTTAATTGTTCAACACTATTAATAGGTTCATTATAAACCAGTTGTTTCATGTGACCCCACAAAAAGAAATCGCATGGATTTAAGTCCGGAGATCTCGGAGGCCACTTAGTAGGTCCATTTCTGCCTATCCACTTTTGAGGAAATCTAATGTTCAAAAACTGCCGTACGTTTAAATCAAAGTGAGGAGGAGCGCCATCTAGTAGGTACCACATCCGTTGCCTTAATTGTAACGGTATCTCTTCTAGGAGTACTGGCAAAATATCTTCTAAAAAGTGGAGATATCCTGGCCCATTTAATCTGTTCGGGAGAACATAAGGCCCGATTAAATACTGATCTATTATGCCAGCCCAAACATTTATTGAAAATTTTCTTTGATGCCCAGTTTCCCTAATGGCGTGAGGATTTTCATCACTCCAAATATGCGTATTGTTCATATTGAACACGCCATCACGAGTGAATGAAGCCTCGTCAGTATACAATAATATTTTTAGAAAATCAGGAATATCAACTAAAATTTTAATAATCTATAGTTTCAAAAATGTATAGTTTAAAAACAATCATTTATCAAATATTCTAGTTTTTTGATAACGAGGGTAGTAAAAACCAGTCTTCGGAAATAGAAATTAATTCGAAAATCTTGGCAACATGGTTATTTCTTACAAGACTAGTTTTCTTATCATCTGACAAAAGCTTGCATATTAATTACTGTTGATGTTTAAAATAGGTAAATAAACCAAATTTATATAGGTCATCCTCAACATATCAGTGAAGTACGTTTGTTTTAGAATTAATTTTCAAAAATTAATAACTCCCTTAATAAGGGGTATTTTTAAAAAATATTTTTCTACATTCAGTGGGGATCTGCGCAATACCCAGTTTTAATATGTACGTGTATTTCAATAACACCCTGTATTTGAAACGTTTAAAATGTTCCTGAAACACTTCTGAAATAATGTGTGCTGAATGGGTACCGAGGATCGGCTAAATAGCTTGACAATTAGCTGTTCAACATGAGCTAGCTGAAGAAATTGATGTCAATAATATCCAAAAATTTTCAGAATTAAAAGTGAGAAAAAAAACTTCTAAATTTAACTAAATTTTTAATAATATGGTTTTAATTTTTAATGGTTCTGTAATTTGTTTTACTATCTTTTTATAATTTGATAATTATTATATATATATATATATAGATTTGTCATTTTTTTTGTGCGCAACCTTAATTTCAAATTAGTGTCAAAATTATAAATCCAGAAATTTGTATTTTTAGCAAATCAAAAAGTTTGTATTTTCTAATACCAATTTTTTTGCTCACGTTTTATTTTATTACTAAGGTTATCTATTTTTGTATTTTTGTTATAAAGGGTCGGCATTTTACCGTTTTGCCCGGGGCGGCAAAACTGCTAGGCACCGGCCACGTCACGGGACATCAAATTTACAACATTAACAATTTTTTTCAGCCTCCAGAGATTTCTGAATGGTAAAATATTAAAGTAGATCAAATTTAAAATGGACTAATAAACAAATTTAATGCCATAATCCATTGAATTTATGTTGTATTATTATGATGAGCATATTATTATTACATTATCGAAACCAATAACTAACCAATCACTGAAATTCATATTTATGATTACAATTAGAGATTGTAATAATAAAAAAAAAACATTATATTGATGATTTTGCAGTCATCAGCGGACATTAATATTATGTTAATTATTTATTTCCGAACAAAATGGAGAAACGCGGGAAACTGTAAGAATATTCAAATTGGTAAATATAAATCCTTGAATAATCTCATGCCCAATATCCGATTTGATGAGTGGGAGAAATCTGAAACAACAAACTGTTTGAACGACGCGATCTAAACAACCGCTAGTTTCCGCGTTTCGTTTTAAAGCGCAGCATTTTCAAAGCTCTCAAAGCTGCTGGGTGATAACGGCGCGAAAAGACGAAAGCACCAATACGCGCGCGTGTCTCTTGTTTAATAAAATAGTAAAAACCGGAGTTTGTTTGAAATATATTCTTCATATTTTAAAAACGCTAAATGTGTGAATAAATAAAAAATAATACCTGTCTGGATACCTAGATAGAAACAAATATTTTATGGATTGTCGAAACTTTTAGGTTGTTAATTTTTTTGTGGATTTTTGAATAATGAGAAAACAACGACTATCTAGAAAAAGAGCGATCGATAAACCTTTAGGTAAGTAATAATTAAATTTAGAAATTCCTAAATTATAATAAATTTGATTTAATATAACTTATAAATAATAAAAAACAATACAGGGTTATTTTGCAACTGATTAACCGGTTTAAAAATTGTTTATTTTTAAAGATATGTACTTAACAGTGTTTGCAACGCAATCGAAAATGTACTTCCTAGTTCTTTTATAATTCAGTATATTAGGTTTAGAGCTTATTCAAGTCAGTTTTGTACCGAAAAGCAAGTCATATAAAAACAGTATATAAGATAATTTATGGCGAGTGCGTAATTCCGTTACAACACGAATTACGTGCTATACTTTACCTACGACTTACACAGATAAATATGAGTGGAAATACTTGTATAATATATTTTTTGTGTGTATTGTTTACTGTGCGTTTTGCTTACCGTGTGTTTTGTTTACCTTTATCTATTTATTACTGTGCCTGTAGGTCGTATGTTTTTGTCTACTTTCCTTAATGGTCGTAAGGAAAAACCATTTAAATTTTGTTTTTATAGTAACGTTTCCTAAATCAACAATATCAAAAACCTAAAAAAAATTAATACCTATCAGGTACATCTTGATAATATATCGTCTCATACAAAAAGTTTCGAAGTTTTACTCCCCACAACTTAAAATAATTTAAGTGATATGTGATTAGTGATTATATGCATGTTTGTAAATACTAGGAGATTTTAGAAAACAAACAGAATTTTTCTTCGGTCAAATTATTTTAATGGATGAAAAAAAATTAATGGTAAAGTAATTTTAAAAACAAAAATAATATATGTCGAAACTCTAATAAAAATTAATAAATATTCGTCGCGTTAAATTATTTGCTTTCTTAAAACGTTATATTATTTTTAAAAAGTAAATAACGAAATTAAGCTTATTATATTCGATTCTACATCATTACTTATTAGATTAGATTTTGAAAACAAAAAGAATACAGGGTAGGCCATCCGTTAACTATAGATTCCTTAGGTCAGTGTAAAAAACCTCCATTATTTTTTTCAATTGAGGTCATTAAAAGAAATAACTAATGAAATAGTACTTCCCTTAACATTCATCATAACTAAATGCTTTCAAAATGGTATATTTCCAACTTGCTTAAAGATAGATTTAATAAAACCCCTTATTAAAAGTGACAAAAAATTAAATAATAAATTATCGTCCTATTACTTTGATATCTAACATATCTAAAATAATTAAAACATTTTTAAAAATCGGATCACAAAATTCTTGAACAAATTTGACATTTTCTCTGAAATGAAGTATGACTTTAGAGAAGGTAATTCCACAGAGGAAATATTTCACATATAGATAAAAAAACTATCCTCTTTATGTATATATATTGATTTCTCCAAAAACTTCGATACTATTTGTTATGAGTTACTATTAAAAAAACTTGAATCATATGGTATTAGAGGCAATATGCACAATTTAATCAAAAGTGACTTACTTATCAGTGAAAGTAGATTGTTAGTGAAATTAGAGAAGTAACCTTCGGTGTTCCGCAAGGAACAGTCTTAGGTCCATTACTGTTTAGTTTTTATATTAATTAACTTTTAAAAATGAAAACGGAATGCAGAGTTATCAGCTTTGCAGATGATACAGCCATCCTATACGAAACGAAACACTTGGAATTTCCTAAAAACAACAGCTGAGTTAGAAATGCAAACAATAATGAAATAATTTAAATATAAAAAACTCACTCTTAATATCGAAAAAACTAAATACTCACCCTCTTGTTCATACGTGAGCAGTCTACCCAATCTTGGTCCCTTAAAAGTAAGCGATTCATCTACTAATCCAGAACAGCCCTCAATTAGGTACCTGGGAGTTATTTTAGGCTGATGGAATTATCATATTGACAATATAGTACAAAAAATTAGGGGTTTTCTGTCACGTTTTAAATTCCTAACGAATTATTTGGACAATAATAGGCATCTTCGAATACTTTATTTTTAATTTATACAATCATAAATGAAATACGAAAATATTATTGGAAGGAGTAGTACTAATCAATGTTACCTGCAAAATATAAACGTTATACAAAAATGGATTATCAAATTATTGTATAAAAAAATAAAACTTACCCAAGTGGTAAACTTTACGAAGAGAGCCAAATCCTTGATTCTCGACAAATAATATGCATTACGACTTTTGTTGAATATCTATAACTGTACTGCAACTACAAAAACATGAGTACGAAACTCAAAACAAAAATCTCTACTTACTACCAAAATGTGAAAAAACCTTAGAATATATATATATAGTCAGGAAGGAGGAATCCTAAATGACCTTGGAATCGCGATGGTATCTAATTTTGACAGTAAACTAGACGAATATGGCGACAAGTGTTTCCGGTCTACCAGTGACGTACTGTCATAAAGGGGCGTGGAAAAGAAAATAATAAATTCTCATTTGCATAAAATCTAAATCTCATTTTAACGAATTGCTATTTTCTTGTGAGAAGTTTGCATTTTTTTGTATTAACCTTCACTATGTGAATAAATTTTACTTTAAAATTGCATGTTGGGTGAGATATATAAGAAAATATTTTTGGGATAATTTATAGAGGGATTTCATTTGAAAAATCAAAGCAATAATGTATTAAAAAAAAATATTGTCTTTATTATGACAATATCTTTATTAATCTACAATTACAAATTATTAAGGTTTGAAAAATAAATATGTTTTGTAGATATGTGTTAAAAAAATTAAATATCTTATACTTATATTAAGGTCAAACACCGCTGTGATATTTCTTTTTTAGATGTTTATGTTGGAGTACATATAAAACTTCCTAATATCAAAGAGAATTTCTGATCATTTTATTACATCATAATATTATTAGTAATATTTTTTGCAGGACAATTTTGCATAAGCAGGTAAAACACATTTCCAAGAAAGGATCCTATAACGTAATAATGATTCTATGAGTGCAAAATTGATTATTTTTAAATGTACATTCAACGCATTATTTGTATGCTTAGGGTTAGATTACAGAACGTCTGCAACTTTGCAGATCTGCAACTTTGCAAATCTGCAAATATGGCGGACTTACAAATGCAAGTATTCCAAAAAATATCTGCAAATTCGCAATATTTATTGTAATTTATTACCCCCAACAACACTAAATCCAAATTTGGAATACGAAAACTTGATACTTGCATGTGTAAGTCAGTCATATTTGCAGATTTTCAAAGTTGCCGAATTATTTGCAGATCTGCAAAGTTGCAGACGTTCTGTAATCTCACCCTTAGTCCAGTTATGATGAGAGTCAATTTGTACTCAAAGGTATTTGATATCATTTGTAATACATATAAAACTACTGAACGTTACCTATTATTCTTTCTATAGGAAGAGGCCATCTTTGTTGCATGAACTCAAACCATAACTTTGTTTTTTGAGAATCTTTAGGAAATCTAAAAATTGTCTACCTAGGATTAATTTATATAATTTGAGAAATCTGAAAATTGTTTACTTGCAATCAATTTATAAATCTAAATTGAACAATAATTTATTCCTTTTAACACCCACTTAAATATCTTAAAATTGCATAAAAGAATTGTTTACATAAAAGTATGTATACCCTATAAACCATGAGACTACGCTTATGAGCACAGTTGATCGCAGACGCACTTACCATGTTTGTTTACAAATTTAAAACATTAAAAATTTTAAAAATCTTTAATGTGGTTGAAAATTAAGAGAACAAAATACTTGCTTATGAAATGTAAATTATTCCTTTCTACTTTTAGCTGTGCGGAAAATTTAAAATTAACAGTAATGCTAAATAAATACTGAAACACTAAACACTTTTTAAAAATGTCTACAAAATATACGCTTGATAAAAGTTTAAATTAACACACAAAACTTTCAAATTATTAACAAATTTTAATTACTAAAATTATAAACCAATTTTAGAAACCATTTATCATATGATGATGAGTCATCCATAGTATAACATGGCTACCACTTTCGTCAGATCGATTAGATTAATGCGGACATGGCATGTTCCTTCCTGACGATATATGTTCTAAGGAAAAAACCATAGGTCAACGCAGTCCCATGTATATAAGTAGAAAATTATTCAATTATATACCTGACCACATAAAGACTCAGCTTCGTACCATATTCATAAGACAAATGTGAAATATTGGATACAAAGTACAGGTTCAACCTTTTTCAAAATATAATAAATCTTAGTAATAAATCATAGGTAATAAATCCATGATTTTCATAGATATATAAAGTATAGTTGTTCGTAAAAATATTATTAATTGCTGACTGTGACACTAATTAATCTCGATTTTAAGCATTATTGAGTTTTAGGTTGCGTGGAAAATATTTTAACAGATTGCAAATTAAAATTTCTTTCCTTCTTTATCGAGCCAATTTTATTTTATTTTATTTTATCTTTCTCATATTTATATATTACTGTAGTTATTATATTATTATTATGCTTTCGTGCGCGCGCGCACACACACAGTTGTGTCTCAGCGAATGTATGAATGTTTACTGTATGTATGTATTTACTAAATATATTCTAAATTGAATAAACATTATTATTATTATTATGTTTAACTAGCGCCCTCTATAAAGTAGGTGATATTTTTTTAAATTAACTTTATCGCCCTGTATATTGAACATGATGACCCCAATCGAAAAACAATACTAAAAGTTTCTTACAGTGACCTAAGGAATCTATCGTTAACGGACTGGCCTACTTTGGGACGGCCTGTATATTTCCGAGTTTACCTTTAATATTTTTTACTTCTGTGCGACAATCAAGTCAATCGTTAGGCAATCATACTCTACCAACAGTTTTTAGTATACAAAATACATTTATTCTTATTTGAAACTGAAACAAAAAAGAACATTTTTGATTAAATTGGCAGAGCCAACCTTTATTTTTCATTTTGGTTTTTCTGTATATAGAGCTATTGTAGAGGTCAAAATAAGTCATTGGGTGTCATTATATATACAGAGT